CTCTTCCCCCTCCGGAAGGCGGCCGAGAAGCTGAAGGAGGAGGAGCGGAGGCGGCTGGCGGAGGTGGAGGCACAGCTGGAGAAGCAGAAGCAGCTGGCCGAGGCCCACGCCAAGGCCAAGGCGCAGGCAGAGAAGGAGGCGCGGGAGCTGCAGCGCCGCATGCAGGAGGAGGTGACGCGGCGGGAGGTGGTGGCCGTGGACGCCGAGCACCAGAAGCAAAACATCCAGCAGGAGCTGACGCAGCTCAAGCAGAACTCGGACCAGCAGATCCGGTCCAAGGTGAAGCTGATCGAGGAGGCCGAGCACAGCCGGCAGCGGGTGGAGGAGGAGATCCGCCTCATCCGCCTGCAGCTGGACAGCACGGAGCGGCAGCGGGCCGGCGCCGAGACCGAGCTGCAGGCGCTGCGGGCCCAGGCCGAGGAGGCCGAGCGGCAGAAGCGGCAGGCGCAGGAGGAGGCCGAGCGCCTGCGCAAGCAGGTGAAGGATGAGACGCAGAAGAAGCGGGAGGCGGAGGAGGAGCTGCGGCGCAAGGTGCAGGCCGAGGAGGCCGCGGCCCGCGAGAAGCAGCGAGCCAGGGCCGACCTGGAGCAGCTGCGGCTGCAGGCGGAGGAGGCCGAGCGGCGCATGCGGCAGGCGGAGCTGGAGAAGGAGCGGCAGATCCAGGTGGCGCAGGACGTGGCGCAGAAGAGCGCCGCGGCCGAGCTGCAGAGCAAGCGCCTGAGCTTCGCCGAGAAGACGGCGCAGCTGGAGATGTCGCTGCAGCAGGAGCACAGCGTCGTGACCCAGCTGCAGGAGGAGGCCGAGCACCTCAAGCGGCAGCAGCTGGACGCCGAGCGCAGCCGCGAGGAGGCGGAGAAGGAGCTGGAGAAGTGGCGGCAGAAGGCCAACGAGGCGCTGCGGCTGCGGCTGCAGGCCGAGGAGGTGGCGCACAAGAAGGCGCTGGCGCAGGAGGAGGCCGAGAAGCAGAAGGAGGACGCGGAGCGCGAGGCGCGCCGGCGGGCCAAGGCGGAGGAGTCGGCCCTGCGGCAGAAGGAGCAGGCCGAGGAGGAGCTGGACAAGCAGCGCAAGCTGGCCGAGGGCACGGCCCAGCAGAAGCTGCTGGCCGAGCAGGAGCTGATCCGGCTGAAGGCCGAGATGGAGAACGGGGAGCAGCAGCGCCTGCTCCTGGAGGAGGAGCTGTCCCGCCTCAAGGCCGAGGTGGGCCAGGCGCTGCAGCGGCGCCAGGAGCTGGAGGAGGAGCTGGCCAAGCTGCGGGCCGAGATGGAGGTGCTGCTGCGGAGCAAGGCCAAGGCCGAGGAGGAGTCCCGCTCCTCCAGCCAGGAGTCCAAGCA